ATAAATGAAGATGAGTATTCAGTACTACGTGTTGTCTTCATTTCTTTTATCAAAATATTACATGCAATGTAACATAACAGATAATAACTTTTTTTTATTATACTTCTCTTGCCAGTTGCCATTTAGTTGATCAAACCTGAGAACTTGAAAAAGCACTGTAAAGTTTGAAGTACTTAAATAGGACAGTGTTAGTAATATAGATAGTAAATTACAGACAAGACTATCAAACTTTTTAACAAACCGTTGGTAAGCTTTTGTATCTAGCTAGATACGTATCGTATCGCGGCATTAATATCTCGATACCTATCTTATCGACTACCGTGATGAGATACGTACCCCTAATTTTTAGCGTTATAAGCTCTCAATTTTACCAATGAACCAAAAGGAAAGACTTAAGCTATTTTCGAATTTTAGACATATTTTACTGAATTACGCCAACTTCGATTAATTGCTATGAGTAAGATACAATTCATCCAATTGACAAGTAATTACATACTACCGGAAGAACCGTTAGTGAATTTTGTTTACTAATGCGCAGATGACTTGTTTTTGTCTAAAACGTACCGTTAATAGGTTTAAATTCAACCAGTATATAAACAATGTAAATAAAAATAAACTGTTTCTGTAACTTGGTATTATCCAGCATAAAGTTAAACAAAATATAAAAATTGATCACAAAGAATTAACCAATTGGTCTCTTTGTTATTAGCTTGGGTTCGACATTTCTTGGTTTAACTTGTTTTGTTGTTTTTTCATTTGTTCACCAGATGGACTGACATGGCCAAGTGTGAAAATAATTTTGAGGGACTGGCAGATCTACTAATACGAGAACAGCTCATAATCACATGTTCAACTGACATGTCACTGTTCCTAAAGGAGAGAGCACCAAAAGACATAGACAAGATTATCAAGTTGGCAGAATAGTATATGGAAGCCCATGAAAGGAGTATAACTGGCAAGTTCAAAAATATCCAGTTAAATTCGAAACCAGTGATGGCTGACCAGAAGCAAGGGTGTACCAAAGGTGACAGGGGGTTAATAGACAGAAAGGAGAAGAGATGCTATGTTTGGTATAAAATGGGGCAAATTGCAAAAGGAGTGCAAGTCCATTACCAACAAGCAACAGTGGAAATCTCAACATAAAGCAGCTGGGGCTACTTACAGGGATAGTGCTGGTAAGAAACAAGAAAAGAGTGACTGGCACCATGGATGCTACTGCCAGAAGAAACAGATTCAAGAAACATGTCGGATTCACCACAAGAGGGAATTTCAATTCCATGATTGATGAATGCACGACTAATGGTCAGCTTAAGTTAGCAAACAGAACAACAGTGCCAGTCAAGATTGGAACATGTGACAAATATCGAGAGGTGATATCAAATCACAATATTCCAGTAAATGAAGGTTATGTTGGGGACAAGAAAGTGAAGGTTCTACAAGACACTGGGTGCAGTAGTACAGCAGTGAAAACCAGTCTATTATCTGATAACCAGATGAGGTAAGGTACGCCTGTGTGTGCTAATTGATGGGACAGTGAGGAAGTTTCCTATAGCAAATATAAAAGTGGATACTCCATATTATGTAGGGGACCTTGAGGCCATGTGTATGAAGGCACCAATATATGACTTGGTGATTGGAAACAAACCAAGAAGTAAAAATTGAAAATAAGTACAGAAGAAAGAGCCTTCACCACAGAAACTTTGGGACAGTGCCAGAGATGACGTCAAACACAATAGAAAGAGGAAATAGATATGTTAAATGGAGGACCAGAAAGGAATATTGAACTGGACCTATCAAAATATTATTTGTATGTAGTGAAAAAAGATATTGTAAATGTTTCTCTTGAAGACGGGCTTATTGTCAGATATAAAAGACTGTTTAGTGTAAGTATTATTATTAATTTATTTATTTTGTGTTTGTAATTCAATGATGTCAATGCTATCAAATGTTATATGTAATCCATTGATGTCGAGGCTATGGAGATTTCTAGAGGGCCTAAGTAATAGACGTATAAATAACGGCGACCAGACAAGTGGAAAGAGAGGATTAAAAGTAAAGTCACGGGAAAGAAAAGTTCGGTGAGAGAAAAGTTAGAAAACCCAATGTTAACTGTCATAAGAATGAAAGGTCTAATGGTTGATATGTTAGAGTGAGATTAATAGTTTGAAAGAGATAAAGAGAATAAGTTGTCTCGTCAAAGGGTGTTCTTAGCTAATTGAGCCCACCTGTGTGGACTTTGAGAAAAAACAGACGATTATTTGAAAGTACGAAAAAGCAGACAATTATTGGAAGTACAAGATACAACTGCAGTAACTCACGCGATAACGTAAGTAAATTATATACGGTTCTTATTGCGATAAAATTAGAGAAATATAGCTCGGCTTGTCAACTGAATTCTAAAGCAATTGAATAGGCTTAAGTGGAGTCTTGACAATAAGAAAAGAACTGTATAGTGTTTAAGATGCAACTATGATCTCCATAGTTTTAATAATTTTGTATATACGTTCATCTTGTTTCTGTTAGATATATATCATTAAAAAAAAAAAACAAGTGAAGTGCGTGCTATTCGCTTAGTGTCGAATTTATCGCCAACAAGTCACAGACATATACTGTAAAAGAATTCTTAGCCCATCACACCCATATACTTACTTTAACATATACTACCAAGTTTCCGAAAATATAGAGCAACCATGGATATTAATCAGACTTTTTCTACTTTTGTTGCAATATCTAGATATATCAAAGAATGATCTACATTCAAAACTAGGGAGTCTGTTGCCAAGTATAGATATGATGTGTCAGTAGACTTAATGAAAGAAATGAAACATCTAAAGGCCACCCACAAAACTAACTTTGGTGATACTGCACTAAATCCTTTAGATATTTTAAACAAACTGTACAAGTTCAAGCTACGTCCACTTTTTTTTATGTTTCTAGAGCCTTTCGCATTTTCTGCACAATTCCAGTCACAGTTACAGAAGAGGAGAAATCTTTTAGCAAGCTGAAACTGATAACAAAAATTATCTGCGCTCTGCCATTGCCCAAGGCCGACTAACAGATCTGGGAGTCCTTGCAATTGAAAACCAGTTAGCCCGTAGTTTGGATTTCAGCAGAATCATTGATCACTTTGCCAGCCAGAAAGCAAAGAAAGTACACATCTAACAATGAAGATTATACAGTAAAAAATTGTCTAGCCTAATGATAATAAATCCACTTATGTCTTAAATAATATGCTTTTTCTAGTGTGTGTTCTTCCCCCTGTAATGTAGACTAATATATATATAAGAGATTAACAAACAGAGAGTGTCCTCAGGTTAAAATGTAACACAACAAAGTTAACTTTCGCCTTAACCTTACTAAATAACAACAATAATACTGTGTACTTTAAATTAAAACCTCTATTTCACTACCCCGTGGGGCAACTTATAAACTATTCCCTCACATTAAGTTACAAGAGAACTTGAAGGGTTCTCTTTAAGTAAAACAATACAAAAATACACAAACCTTTTACCAGCAATCAAAAGCGAGAACTTTATGAGTTGTCATATAGAACTTTAGGTTACAGAAACGCTGCTCAAGTCCAAAATCAATCTGTCTTCGTTATTTTACTAAATATCTTTTTAACATTTACACAAGCACGATCTGGTGAAAATCTGAATAATTTCTATGCAAAATCAGTGGAAAATGTTCTCTCTCAGGCCACCACTGATGTTCTTTTCTACATCAACAATGCTCTTTTCTGCGTCAATGATGCCTTACTTTACTTCAATCATGTCTTTTTTGTATTTTACTTTTGACTTCATCAGTTTTGTCCGTACAACCTTGCATTACTACTTCTATTTTATAATTACAGCCTTTCAATATTATTTTCAATCTTATTATTATAATCTCTTTGTACATGTTAAATGCCTTCGTCAATCAGATTTGTTTTCGATTTTAATCCTTATTTAGACAATATTATAACAGCATTGCCGTACTTCTTCAATTTTGTCAATACAGCCTCTCCATACTTTTCCAGTTTTATTGTTATAATCTCTCTGTACATGTCCAAACTTCGCCAGTGAGATATATTTTTTATTTTGATTTTTATATATATAATACATCTCTTTCTTTTTATTCATCTCACGGTCTTCTGGTTTAATTTTATTCTTCGACCAATTATAATTTTAGTAAATTTCTTCTTGATCTTGTCTTAACAATTTCGTCATCTCAAGTAACAATTCACTCTCTCTCTCTCTCTTGGACCTCGTGATGAAACAGTTAAAGTTTAGTCAAAATTTCATTTTACGTTTCACCAAATTAATATCCTGCTCCTGAGAACAATGGTGTAAAGTTGTTCTTTCGTTGGCGTTTTAAAGTTCAGTCCACTTAACAATCACAGATTAGTTCATTTCCTCCTTTGATGTTTCTGCAGTGGTTCCCAAACATTTTTAATCTGGAGGTCTCCGAAAATCTTACACACCATAGTTGTAGACACCCCACATAACGATATATTTTATGATTTACATTTTTACTTTCACCAATGTTGGGTGTGAAAGGACAGCCTAGAAGGACCAAATGGTCCCTTGTTGTGCAAGGTTATGTAGTAAACGTCAGCATCCTTATTCACAATTAGTTCAACACTAAATAATTGTTTGTTTCTTTCTTTCTTTGTAATTATGCACAAAGCTACACAATGGGCTATCTATACTCGGCCCGCCACGGGTATCGAAACCCGGTTTCTAGCGTTGTAAGTTCGCAGACATACCGCTGTGCCAATGGGGAGCCACTAAATAAAATATTTACGTAAAACACACTTTGAAACTGAAATGATAAAAAATAAAACTGTGTAGAAATATTTGAAATAACAAAAGTCAAAACGATTATTAATATATTCTCAAAATTTACTGTATTGTGAATTATTATTTTTATGTGGTTAACTCTATATGTTTACTTGCATTTTATAATTATTTTTCTACCTATTTTTCTCCAATAGTCATTATATTTGTTATATTATACATACTTAATTTTGAATTAGCAATACAAACTTTATTTTCAAACAGTTTCAAGAACAAGGAGTTGTGTGGAGAAGGAGCTGTGTCGATGGGAATCTGTGATTAGGTTGTATGTGAAATGTACATTAATTTTAAAATGAGTTCGAAAGATTCAGTATAGGTTGCTTATTACTATTTGTAACTCCAATTAAAAAAAAAAACACATCAGACGTGTATACTATTGTTATAATCTGTGATACATCGTAACGCTTATCGTTTCAAGAATGCCTAGAGGTAAGATGTACTTTTTTTTCTTTTACTATATTTTGCCAAAATTTCCGCTTTAGTTTAGGCTACTGTCTAGGCCTAGTGAAAGCCATGCGTGTCATAAACTTTAATTTTTAAAACTTTAGAAACTTATTGGATAGAAATTTTTAGGTAGTATCAGTAATCAGTACTTAAAATGGAAAAAACTTATACCACGAAAAATGGCTAAAGGTTTAAGTTTGAAATCACCAGACCAAGGACCTTCCAGCCCGAAACGTTGTGTATTAAAATAAAAGTTAAAACATCTATATCGCATTAGCCATTTTTCGTTGTATAAGTTTTCCACTTTTTGCTTTCGATTTCATCGTATCACAGCGGATTTTAGCTGATTTTCAGTAATCAGCACAACTAAGCTTATCTATAACTATAATTTATAAGTCTATACTGTGTATCCACTAATAATTATCACAACTCCTTTTTTTTTTAATCAATATTGTTATCGTTATCATTGCTGTGATAATGATTTATAACTGTCACAGTATGTGGTTACGTTGGCTGTTAGTTTAACAATAGACGTTTTTCACTGAATAAAATAAATTCTTTGCTGTCACCGGTGGAAGAAAAATTATGATTTTTAATTGATTATGGTAAATGCTTTGATTTAAAATTGCAAAATTAAATAATTATTCTCTGTTAATGTTATGGAAATGAATTGCAAACACCTGAAAACAGACAGTTTGTTAATATGTAAAAGAAAAAGCTATTCATATAGACTTGTAATCTTCTATTGTTCTACTGGATTTAATGTTTGTTTTAAAACCTGTTATTTTCATAAGTTTATTGATACCATAAAAATTGAAATGTGATCAAAATGTTGAAAAAGAAATAGTTCAAGCTTGTTGTTTTTACCTCTTGTAAAAGCCTTTGAAACATTGACATATATATATATATTCTAGTTGATGTTGTGAATCTTGTTTTTTACAATGATCTTAGTAAGGTGTATCACAACAGATAAATAAGTTGTGGATGTTTCTGAAACTGATGGAATAATTTACAGTAGAAAATAATGAGTAGTTCTTGTGATAAATAGGCATTTTTCCAATTTGGAAAATGTGACTAATGGTGTTTAGGTGATTTGTTTTTTTGTTACTTATATCAAAGATTTAGATAGCTTTTTGGACAATAATTTCCAGATTTTCTAAGATGCTAAGAACAGTTGATTTTATATAGAAAGTTTCTTATTCAAAAGGAAATTTACAGTGTTATGGAGTCAAGAGGTAGAAAATGAGTTTTAATAATGAGAAATAAAAAGTTGTACTAGCATTTGGAAAAGATGTATTTCTTCATTAGCATGTTTATTAACTGTAAAACCCTACATCCCTTTGCTGACAATTTATCTCTTGTAGATAAAGAAACGTAAGTTCTTGGATTTAATTTCAACAATTCAGAATTGAAGAGCAAGAGGGTTATTGTAATCTTGTACAAAAACTGATAAGACCCTTCACTTAGAGAATAATGGGTGTGGTTTTGGAATGATATTGTTTTAAACTACAGGTTTATATGATTCAAGTTACAAGGAAAGCCTTAGTTTTAAGAGTTAGAAGAAACATGATTCATGTGTTTAAAAGTGTTGGGGCTAGAGCTGGGCAATTAGGTGGATTGGCTAATTGATTAATTGTTGCACTCATTAACAGTGATGCGCACAGAAGGTGGCTGGGTTGGTTTAATCCCTAGTCTTTATGCTCTTATGCCCCAAAAGGGTTTTTTTTCCAAGTCATAAAAATTTTCCATATCTACTCAAAGACATGCCTGATTCCCCCACCTTGCATGCTGCAAGTTATTAGGGAGAAAAAATATTTCAGTTTTGAAATTAATGGCTCACAGGGACTTCTAGGTCCTTGCAGTAAAAAAATTGTTATGATATACTATTAAGTGTTAATATGCAATAATTTACAGTTTAGTTTTAGATCTTAATAAGTATTTATAAGACCAATTTAATAGCAGTAAAAAGGGGATTGTTTGCTTTTAATTGTTTTTTACCATATTGTTGAGTGGCCACTGAAGGAACTCAAAAATACTGGATACTCCCCTGCCACTCCAACACCATTACCCAAATTATAATGGGGAATCTTTTCTTAAAGGGTCGAAATTCTTAAACCAAAAATAAAAGGTTATTTTATCTAATTGTAACTTGTAACTTAATCGTAAAATTTACTCGGGAATTCTCTTACCTAAATAGATAAGTTTGTCCAATACTCAAGGTTTCCATGGTTCATCCATGTATTAATAAAAAAGGTAAAAAATCCTTATTTCCCTACAAAATAAATTGTTGAAAGTTTTCAAGAACTTTCAGTAAAACATCTTCATTTTTTTTATGTTAGTGCTAGAACTCAGCAATTGGTGGAATCATTTATTCTCACATGAAACTAATATTCCTATTTTCAGCTTGTTTTGTATATTAGTAAAGATATTTTTGAACTACCCTTAATTTAATATGATAGACATCTTCAGGTACAGCTATTTAGCATTAACTTATTTTTTTAATCCCAAGCTTTTGTACATAAAAATTTATCATACACAGCTTATTACAAACCATTGTGTGGGTTTCTCCCTTCAAATTTTCCCATGACTGCTCAACACAGGTTACTGAAATTTTGTTGCTAAGAGTAAGCATTTCTATGTGTCATGGATTATAAACCTAAAAACACGAAAGATAACACTGTTGTGTTTATATTGGTTTTTACCCGTGTACATGCCCTTTTAAAAACTTTCACTAATATTAGTAGTATAATAAGGAATGCTGCATAACCAGAGTCAATAGGGCTGTAAAAATTACATAGGAATGTTACAGAAAACTGGGATATTTATTGTTAAGTCAACTAATTCATCATTAGAAATTATTATCCTTAGATATTTTAATAAAACTAATAAATATCACAGCGTGTGAAAGAAGAGAATCATAATTTATAATAAACCTGAGAACAACATTTATTATTTAGCAAAAAACTTGTGATGATGCTAGATGACCTTTTTGCATAGATTAAAATAATTCAAAGGTATAAATTAAAGTAGCATAAGAAATGTTTCAGGAATAAACATACATTGAAAACAAATTATATGTACCTTGCCTTTTATAATTAGTTCTGTGTCCAAAGAGCAACATCATACAGTTATGCTCCCACCTATAGTTCAGTCTACACAATAAAAATGTCATGGTGCTTTTTCAATCCTCTGCTAGTGGCCATTAGCAAATGATCATAAAGCATTATTCTAATGAAATTGTGGTAAAACTATAAGACCTGTTGCAGTTTAGTATCAATTCACAAAGCTGGAGGTCAGATCTGTCAGCAACATAGCTATATATATAGAAATAATAGGATGTTTTCTCCCCTCCCCCCACATGATGTTTGTTCTCCATTAATACATATATGTTTATCGGTTTATTAAAAATTAAGAGTGAACAGGTGTCAAATGTAAGCCATTTCATTTTCTGTGATAACCAGGAAAATAATTAGTAATCAGTCACTATGACTGGCCATTGTTTTTCCTTGTGGAGAGGCTGTTAAAGGTGAAATCTCTTCTGAACATGTCATAAAATTTCTAAAGGAACATTTTTATCCCCCTTAAATTTCTCAGTCTAAAGGGTGTAATTTAATACGAGTTTCACTTTGTGTGTCATGTTACAAACACAGTTGCTGTCTTTATTTAGGTCCAACTGATTATTAGCTGTATGAGTAATGGCTTCTCTATATAGAGGTATTTAGATATAAATGCTTGTTATTTGCTTCTTTTTTTTTGTTTAAACAGATACAGATGTTCTAAAAATATGCAAGTTTTTCCTAGTAAGTAAATAAGCTCAAGAAAAGTAACATCTGTAACAGTACAACATTGATAATTGTGTTAAATTTTTTTTTATTATTAATTTATATTTAAAATATATAACAACTTGACAAATTTTCTTTACTAAATGCTTAATCAAAAAACACTTAAACAGCAATACTTAAAATGGTTCACTGTTATAGGTCGTGGAGGGAAAAGACACAAAGGACGAAGTCGCCATTTCACTAGCCCAGAAGAACTTGAAGCTGTGAGAAAAAAAACAGAAAGAGAGAAAAACTGGCGAGTAAGTACCTGTGCAGAGATGATAGTACACTTAAATCCTGTGTTTTGAAGTGAAGCAGTTATCTTGTGTAGTATTTCAATTAAAATTCTATAATACTCTTTTTAAATTTTCAAAATTACAAATCAAATTTAAAGCCTTAATTGCTTCTTTTTTTTTTCACACACATGCTGACATTTAGCTACAAATGGAACTAAGATTTATAATGTGTTTGTTGCATGAACATTATTTCAGAAGTGCTACTCACCTCTCCACAGAACAGATAGCTTTTACCTCTCACTATTGCTATAAAGTTTTTGCACATGTGCCAAGCCTTGAATAAGACTCCAACTTCTACATGCATCAATGTATATTGTGACAGTCTGTGATGCAATCAGCAATAGACTGTAGTCTTCTACCAATAGGAGGGTGACACACACACATTTGGTAAACTTCAGTAGGATCACTTCTTACCCTTCTTTTCCCAAGAGAAAATAAGTTGAGCTTTTAACCTGTCCCTATAAAATAATCTTTTCATTCCCACAGTCACCTTTGTCACCCTCCTTCGAACCTACTCCAGTAAGTCAGTATCCTTTCTTAGATAAGAAGACTAAAACTGCACACAATATTATAAGTGAGGCTTCACTGGTGATTTGTATAGAGCTGATTAGTAATATATAATAAAATAACACAGTATCATCTGCAGCATTTAAAAAGTCTGTGAAAAACCATAGTCAATGGAACAAACTATGAAAATACTTAAAATTAGAGAAACTTGTTTCAACAAATTTGTGTCTTCTTCAGTCTCATGTTGTCTTATGGCAGAAAAAATTGTCAACAACCTACATCTGGAAGTCTGAATTCCCTTAAGGACACAGGTAGTCAGAAAGCTGTTTAGCTTGAAGTGATCTTCAGATGTATTTAAGTTATTCAGACTTTAAATTAAGCAACAATTCTCCTGTTTTGTGTAAACATTTTATTGGTTTTCAAAGTGGCATTACTTGTGTTTCCGTATTTAATGTATCTTTTTTTATGTTTAGAAACTGTGTCAACAGTTTTTCCAGTTTCACCTACACAATCAATCTCACAGGATTGGCATGTTAAATTTGAAGTGAGGTTATTTCTAATGTTGTTTATATCGTCGTATGTGATTCCGCAGTTATTATTATTCCTTAATATTTTGTATAGATTTTCAATTTTTATGTTTAGCAAGTATGAACTGACTTTATATTACCATCGGTTGGTCTTTCTTTGTCTCTGTGGAACAAGGTTTTCCTGCTCTAAGACAAAAATATCAATTGAAAACATAGAGCACTAATCCTATTTTCACATAAATAAACCCTTTTTAAAATGTAATTAACACTATATCTAGCTGCCAGTTTGCCTAGTAGTAGGTGGCTATAGATTGCATAATGAGTTTACTAGATTTAGTGGTGAGGGGTATTTAGGATCTATTATCATGTATGATAAAGTTTTTCACCATTCGTAACGATTCATTTTTGTTAAGATTTTTGTGTACATAATCTATTGATCTATTTTGAAGTCTGACAACATGGGGATGTTTGCATAATTATGTAAGAATGTTGTGTTTGTGTATTTAGGGACTCTGTATGCTTCAGTGATTATTGAATTTTGTAAGTTGTTTACGTGTGAATTGGTTACATTTAATCATGCTGGGCGGGCATACTCTGCCACTGGGTGTATATAGGTTTTATATATTTTGTGTATACTTTCTGTTGTTGCCAGTCAGATGTCATAGGTAATTCGCTCTTTGCCAGATTTTATTTCTAATTTCACTTATATGCTTAGTCCAATTTATTTTATGATTGCAGGTTAGACCCAGTAATTTGGCTGATGTGGCTACCTGGAGAAGAGTTCTGTAAAGGTGTAACTTTGGGGGCTGTTTGCCCTTTGCTTTTTTATTTTGTGAAAAATATGATTTGTATTTTTGGGGCATTTATTTTGATTCTCCATTTGTTACACTAGTTTTCTATTTCATTTAACCGTGGTTTTAGATTTGTAGCTGCGATAGTTGGAGTGTAGGAGCTCTTCCAAATAGCCACATCATCCACAAACTGGAAACAGAAGCAGACATTTGGATCAAACAGTGACCTTTCACTCACATACATGATGAATAGAATAGGTCTAAATACTCCTCCTTGTGGGACACCTGCCTCTGGGGTAAAATACTACAAGAAGGTGCCCGACACATTAATTCTAGCTTTCCTTTTGTCTAGAAAGTTCAAGAGCCAGCAAATAATATGTTGCATTAGTTTCATTTATGACAATCAATATTTTAGTCTGTTGTGCCATACAGTGTCAAATGCTTTCTCTACATTAGAAAGCAAGCAATAGTGCATTCATTTCGGTTCAAACTGTCTACCATGGTTTTTGTAAATCTTAGTAGATTATCTGTTTGTTTGTTTTTTCCCTAAATCCATTTTGTATTTCTGGTAACTTTGATGTCAGTTTGAGATATGCCAAAAGTCTTGAACTGATGATGTTTTCTAGTAGTTTTCCAATACAGCTGGTTAGGCTGATTGGTCTATAGCTTTCTGGTTTACTTGCTGGCTTTTCTTCTTTCAGAAATATTAAAAAATCTGCTAGATTCCAAGCAGTTGGTATGTATCCAGATTTTAGGGATAGATTAAATATAGCAGCTAAATGTTCATCCAGTCTCGGTGTGCCTTTTTTGATAAGAATGTATTGTATTTTGTCATGTCCAGGAGCCTTGTTTTTTTGTCATTTTGAGAGTCTTGTATTTCTAGTACTTTTATTGTAATGACTTTTCCTCTTTTTTGTCTTCATACTCGTGTCCCGTTACCTTTTTCTCTGTTTCATTCTTTTTTGGATCATCAACATTTGGTTCTCTTCATTTAAGAAATTTTTTAACTTTGGGCGATTTTTTTTTGTGTGTGATTTGTGTGACTTTTATGCCATGTCCTCTGTTACTTTGACTGAATATCTTTTGGTAACACTGGTCTGTCATGGGTAGACTTATTTGTAAGTACAAAATCCTTTTGCAACAATAATTATTTTGATTAGGAAGGGACACTACAAAAGAATAGATTACACTGGCAGTGATGCATAGATTTTCTTTCATTCTTTGTTTGGAGTATTAAAGGACACTTCTTTAAAGGAGAATGAAAAGTTACTGTTATACCATGCTTTAAAGAGAAATTGGATATTATATATGAAAAACAAAATTAAGTGCTCTGAAAAAAATAAAGTAGTTTGACTTGTATTTTTCTTCATGAAATACAAGTTCACAATAAAATAAAATTGAGATATGTTGATATCTTCTTTCAATTTATGTAACATCCACTAATTAATTCAGTGATATTTTTGATAATTTCCACTGTATAGTACATTTTACAATGAGCTATAGGATTGGCCCCTAAAACTGCTTGCAGGCCCCCTAGAAATGTATGTTTTGGGGCCTGATTATAGTGTCTCGTCTTTCTTATCAGTCCTGGAAAATGAAGGTAACAGAATGCTGATTAACTACTTCAATAATGATAAAAAAAATTATATATTAAAATTAGTAGAATAGATAGTGAGTTGTTAAAAACCAATTGTAAAATATTAAATGATGAAATAATTTTGAGAAAATACAGTGAATAAATAGAAATGTTACAGAATGACAATTTTTATAAAATGCCCTTTTCTTGTATAGACTCAAGTTGTGGAAGCTTTCAATTGAGAAGAAATTTAAATGTTATGTAATACAAGACAAATGGAGGTGCAAGTTGTTAATTCATCATAGTATGAATTTTGTAAAGACAGCTAAAAATAATTGAGCATTTTCTCTCCAATAATAAGTACAAGACTCTTTAGTAGAATTAAGTAATAAATGAGGTATACGTTCACAAATTTAAACTTCCCACTTTTTAATATTAGGAACAAAATGTATTTCTGATACAAAGTACAGCTGCAGCAGTAACGAATTATCATTATAGGAAGTAAAATTACTTATCACAATCAAAAGTAAGAACATGTCTGTGAAGTATTTAAATAATTTTAATATTTTTGTTACTGTGTGTTGTGTTTGTTAAAGGAAAAGCAAAGTAACAATGTAAAAAATACAAATTAGACTTTATAGATATAGTTATATCTATAAAATATGTATATACAGTATTGGAAATAATTATTGAAACAGTAAGGAAAAAAGATATGAGGTAGATACTTTGGAAATGTCACACCTTTATCATGTGAAAATTAACTTCATCAGAATAAAGTCACATGTTGATCAGCACTGTGAAATTTTTAAAAAAAACTTCATGGGACAAAATGCTAGAAAATATACTTGGCCCTTTCCTATCTTACAAAACTCGTATAGAAGATTAGAATATAACTTTTAGGATTTTTATTTTATTTAACAGTGAACACAAGAAGTACAGTGCAATTGGCAGCTCAGTTTTGTCACGAATGGCATATACTTTACATGCATTTTATAGTGTCTAACAGTTATTAGAATTGTACAATAAAGCAAGTAATATACCTTGTGCCTAAACTAATATAGGAAATTCATGGTTTACATAATTGCTGTCATGAACTAAAATCACAGGTTTATCAAGTAAAGTACATATTTGGAAAGACAGACTACATTTTTCTTTGATATGCCATTTCACTTAAATTTTCAATGAAAAATTAGACACATACATGAGAATTAAAAGAATTAATGTTTATAAAATTAAAAAATTCAATCAAGCACTGTTTAAGGCCAGCAATTTTAAATTGATGCAACATATTCTTTGAAGATTAGGTTTACTTTTGTGATTTAAATTTTAGGAGACTACATTTGTCTATTGACCAGTCAATATCATTGCTTTTAGGCCTGCTAATAATTAGAAAAAAAGAAAAATGGGATGTTATAAACTAGTCATATATTACACTACACTTTTTATCAAAAGTAAATTAGGCAAAATATTTACTACTAAATTTTTTCAGCACAGATGGGTGTGGCATAGACAAGGTTCAAGACGTGATATCACTAAACATGATAAGAACTTTCAACTGTGGTACCTCATAAAAATGACAGCTAAACCAGTTATTTAGTTCAAAAAGTTCTTTTGGTGGTTTATGCTGCTGGCTAGCTGCCTTCCTCTGGTCAGTAAATCACAATTAGAGATAGCTCACTTGCACATAAGATGCTGTTTGTGGAAAGAATATTATGTTAATGAATCTGATTTGCTGGAGATTATAAGATTAAGTGTTTTTAATTTTGAGCATTGAAATATGCTTAGTTTTTGTAGTCATATTGTTTGTTTTTCATTGATCAATCAGGGAAGAGAATGTGTGTGTGTGTGTGTGTGTGTGCATATATGTATAAATGTTTTTAAAAAAGAAACATTTTGTGTACATAACAGATTTTTATTATGGCTATTAATGCTGTTAGTCTTAAGGTACAAGTAAGTGAACATAACAGTAACAATATGCTTTATAGTAATAATTATTTGCTTGTCCAAAATTCATGCTATACAACAACTGTGACATAAAATATTTCATATCTTATTCCTCGTTAGGTCCATGATAAGTTTACAGACTTACAATGCTAAAATTTGGGGTTTGATCCTCTTTGGTGGACAGGGCACAGATAGCCCATTGCATAGCTTTGCACTAAAACAACATTTTCATATCTTGCTTATAGTCAGTTTTTGTTGTTGAAAAAGTTTTGGTAAAGGTTGAAATGAAAATACTGTATGGAACTTCTTTGGGTGATAAGATAGTACATTAAGTAACTTATATAATTTTTAATAATTTAGGAACAAAAGGGGGAATATAGTAGTAGTGACAGTGAAGATGAAGGTGCCACAGGTGAAAAGAAAAGCTCATCAACTGACTCAGAGGAAAGTGATTCTGAAAATGAACAGGTGAGATTGTCCTTTGTCATATGATATTGAACCAGATTTATCTTTTTTTTTTAATTAAAAATGTTTCTCTTGTGCATTTATTTAGAATTTTCTCAAACTAAATATTTCACTAAGAAGAGAATTGAGAATCAGACTAACCTGTAACAGCAATAATGTAACTATGGCTTTTTTATGTGGTAATTTTTCTTTGTTATTACTTTGGTTTAAACAGTGAGACCCACATAAAATAAAATATAATTTTCTACAAACATCTATCAAATTTAAATTAGCTGGACAGAGCCAGCTAGTGAACAAACAAAAACTGAAGCAGCATAAAAATCTAAATTTCCATTTTATTCTTAAGTCATCATTATCTTATGAGAGAAATATTAAAAGTAGTGGCTGCTGCTCACTGGAATTGGAATTAAAATATAAATTTGTGTATCCAACTTCTTGTATCATAATTAACATCATATCAGTAAAACATTACAAAGTAGACTTTTCTTAACTCTTTCAGGACAGGCTCGGTTCCTGGGACCGATCTCGTAACCATTTTGTGCTTGTTATAGTTTTCGTGCTATTAGTATTGCATATGTTTGCAAAATTTAGCAGATTATCAGTAAACATTACAATGCTGTCATACACTAAATAGCAGCTTTTTTTTTTATTAAGTCTTAAGGTTTGTTAAACAATGTTTTCTCATGCATTATTTTCTTTTCGCATACTGCATGGGTATAAAATACAAATATTATGGGATTGCTTATCTGTTGTATGAAAAAGAACCACACCAGAGTTCAGTCACATTTTGATAGCTTACACTGTGATTGGCTGTGAATCAACCAACCAGAAATCAGAAAAGTAAAGACAACCAGTGTTGTGAATGCACTTCTCATGTCTCACAGGTTAGAAATTGGAGTCTTGGCTGATGTGAAATGTCATGTTTCAGTAGGATTAGGAACCGTATGGAAGCTAAAAAGGGTTGTGCATGAAACTAGAAACCTTTGAAATAGAAGTGAAAAACCAAACTTTACAAAAGTGATATTAGGGAACTCAGGGTGCATTCTTCACAATATATATATATATATATATATATATACAACAATCCAGTAGAGATCTTGTAATTAACATAGCTGTAAGTATAGCAGTGAATATTGCATCCAGATCAATAAGGACAATACACACTGTAGTGTGTTATGCAGCCAAAACAACCTGCTGCAGGATGCACTGCATGTCATTAACGAGTGATTGTTTAGCTATATTCCACCTTCTGTATCTCGGACTGTGGTAATCCAAACTACCGCATATTTTCAGTTGATATGCTCTACTGGACTCTTTGTTCACAGACTGAATTACGAGTGATTGTTTAGCTATATTCCACCTTCTGTATCTCGGACTGTGGTAATCCAAACTACCACATATTTTCAGTTGATGTGCTCTACTGGACTCTTTGTTCACGTACCAAGTTACAAAGCAATCCATTAAAAAATACTTGAGATATAACATCTACAATTTTGATTTTCTTCCCCCCCTTTGAGTAATATATTAGGAAAAGTTAATGTTTGTCAAGCAACAACCAAGTTTCTAGGGACAGTAAAGAATAAAGACTTGAGGTTAAATTGAACATCTGCAGCTTGACAGAATTGAATTAATAGTTTTGGTTTTGTTTTAAAACTGTGGGTTTTTAGACCCCAATATTCTCTTGAAATAAAAATATGTTGTGCTTTGGTAGTAGAGTACAGGTGATTTGTGTTATTGTGTCTAAATCCAAGGACCGTACAAGGACCAAATAATGTGAGTACTTTTAGTAAAAGGTTTATTTAATGTAATAAGCAACATTATGTAAACAATAAATGAAAAACTTGACTCTTGAGTGGGGTAATACTATGAAATATCATTTGTATCTTTGCTAGTTACTGTTGCCTATACGAGTGATATTGTACATTGTGATTTTATAGGATTATAATACAATTATAAATGTTGTGGTTATTTAATCAACAGGTTTGATATTGTATATAAAGTGTTCTGTGTATATTATTAGAATTTACAACTTAGTTGATGTTGTTGGATCATTCTTGAAGGAAGTTTGATTTATGTACTGTCTCAAAATACAAAATAAAGTAAATTGGAAAAAAGTATTGCTTAAAATTAAATACAATTTCTATTTTATCAACTTCATATTTTTTCCCATCAAGTGGTATACTTGTATGCAAGTTCAAGTATAAAAGTTTATCAACAGGATCTTATCCTGATGTCACTTGAGAGGATGTAAATAATTTATGCTTGTTTGCAGTGTGTCGTCAAATGAACAACTTTTTTTTTCTTCTTTCCAGTTAAAGGTAAAGGGAGTAGAACACCTAATTGAAGTTGAGAATCCCAATCGAGCTGCTAAGAAAAAACTTCCCAAGACAGACCAGAATGTTACTGAAGACAAGCCACAGCTTACTCGGAGAGAAAGGTGAACATTTGTAATTAATGTCTTGTGTTATATTTATAAGGTATAAGTTGTTTGACATTAAGTTTAGTTAATTTATCAAGGAATCCATGGAATGTTTCAAAAGATGTATCGGTTCTGCATGACTTCTGTAATTGTGTCCTTTCATTTTCTTGTAATATAAATGCTTGATTATAGAAATAATTGAAACTGTTGTAGCGGACTATGGTGAACAACGAAATATTTTCAATGTAAATTGCTGGAAGCAAAACTTGAAAGCCATCTTAGGGCACGTACACGTAAAGCCTTAATAGAGCTTTTGATGTTTATGTATGATGTGATTGGTACAGTTTATTCTGTTATACAATTTTAATGTGGCTAAGACATAACTCCTGAAAGATGCAAGCTGTAACAAGTGTTCTCTAGTATTGTGTGAGATAGAGCACATTGGCCTACATGTAATCTGTACTTCAGAGTAGTCATGCAGCTGTAACCAACAATTTCCTTGTCAACATACGACAACTTCTTATAGCTATTGCTGTTCATTTAATATATTAGTGGAAAAGAAACAGTTGTGTTGTATTTGAAACAACAACAGTTAATGGAAACAAGTTTCATTAAAAAAGAATATAAAACTTATGTGACACAGTAATGAAAATTAAAGTATAGGCTACTTTACTCCTTAATTGTTTTTATATTATTTTTTATTCTTAGTCACCTACTTCCCATTTTACATTGTTAGCATTGTGAAACTCACTTCTATCATTCTTAGGGAAGAGCTTGAACGTCAAAAGGCTAAAGCTAATTATATGAAGCTTCATGCTGCAGGAAAAACTCAGGAAGCTCAGTCTGATCTTGCTCGGCTTGCTCTGATTCGTAAACAGCGAGAAGAAGCTGCAAAAAAGAAAGAAGAAGAAAGGAAAGGTATGTTTGTAAAACTGTATGAATAATGACATTATGTCGTTATATATATATACATTCATTGATCATACTGTTTCTTTGTACGTGACTGGTTTGTTTGTTTTTTTTTCACATTTTTGTTTTAATTTTTTAATTAGTGTGTTATAAAAAGTAAGTATCTGTGCTTAAATATTGAGAATTGGATTTCAAACATTTTTTTTTTATTTGATGTGTTCACTTCGTATTAAAGCTGGGCAATTAGTGGAATTTGTTAATCAAATAATAATTTAATTTCATTAATCAATTACATTCAACTAATTGATTATTCTCCCATGACACTAATTTTTCTATTTTCCACATGCTTTTTTGTAAAGGCATTTTTGAATTACCCTTATTTAATATGATAGATATTTTCAACTACAATAATTTAGAATTAAGTTACATTTTTTAGTCTGTAATTGTTGTACAAAAAATATATTGCCTGTAACAATCTGAGAATATGAGTAATATCATTCCACGGATTTCTCTCTATAAATATCCAAACAACTACTGTACTAAAACTGCTGAATAAACATACGTTGTGATGTTGGATTTTATAACTGAAAAAATACTTAACGTAAGAGTAACTAGTGAGGTTACTTTTAGGTATAGGTTAACATAAGTTACATGCACTTATTCATTGGGACTAAGTTCAAGATTTTATACGAACAGTTTTATTGAGGCGATCTATCATGTGGTGGTTAACAGAAGTACATAACTGTATTTAGACAATCAAGGGTGTTAATACTTTAGTTGCATCTTCACTGTACAAAGATACAGTAAACGTAACAGCACGTGCCACTTCATTTGTTAAAGTTGGTTATCATAGGTATAAATTTAGTCATTATTTTGTACACAATAATATTATACTGCAAAGTGTGCCAGCAGTTTATTATTTTGAATCGGGGAAAATGCTGATTCCAAACACATCTCTGTCATTATTACATCTTTATTTGTCATTACATTTTAACATATCATTATTAAAAAATATCGAATGTTTCTCATACCAAGAATATAAATCTCTTTTCCAAATTTTTCATAGATAACGTATTTTTGTTGGGTTGGGTTCCATTCTTAATTGCACCCATTAATTTTATCAAGTTTTAGTGCTTGAATTTATATTTTTCTCATAATTATTACTTGTAAACAGGTTGAATCCTATTAATGTAAACAAAAATACCTTTAGCAGAAAAAGACGACGTAAATTTAACTGAGGTCGATAATTCAACTTGCTGAACAACCTATATGATTTCATTCACTGGAAAAGTGAACCTAGTTAAGACTTTCCAAAACAAGTAGTATTGAATTAGAAAGATTTTTTTTAAAATAAATTGTTGGTTAGGTATTAAAGTTTTGAGAAGAAAGAAATATTTGCAAGATCAGGCTTAGTAAAATAATCGACAAACAGATTATGGACATGAAGTTTATAAGTTGGTTCAGATATACACAGTGCACATCAAGAAACTCCAGCAGCATTTAAGACATTTATATAAATGAAAATATTTTTTTGTGTTTCTTGCAGTTTGGTTAAGTATTTCTGGTGTGTTAAGAAAAAAAAAAATCAAAGGATATCAATGACACCAAAAGGATTGGAAAAGGTTAAATAAACTAGATATAATGTATAGAAATGACAAATTGAATCGTGATGATATAGATAGCTGGGTAATTAATTCAATTGCCTATGAGTATAAATTATATTGATTAATGTCATGTAAAATAATTGATTAACCAAAATTACAATTTACTTAAATAATATCTAAAAAAGTAATCAGTAAGTGTTTATGATTTGTCATTATTATTTTTGATTAATTCAAGTTTATTCAGTTTAATCAATTAGTGTCATGACTTACAAAAATAATTAACTAATTGAAATGTTTACATATGTTTGCTGTTAAACACGAGGCTACTCAATGGGCTGCCCGTACTCTGTCCACCAGGGGTATCAAAATACGATTTATACCATTATAAGTTATTGTTTTTATGTTGTTTTGTTTAGCCATCTTGTGTGAGAATAATCAATTAGTAGAGTGTAATTGATTAGTGAGCCAGACAATTATTTAGCAAATTCCACTAATCGTTCAACTCTTAATGATAGGGTGAAATATGTTTGAAAGTTGGGTTTTAGATATTTTTTTATTACACATAGATTTTATTTATCTGGAAAGAAAATTATTTTTTGAGAAAGGAGGAGTGACAAGATCAATGACCAAAAGAAAGTATGAGGGTTAATATCCACACAGCTGAAATGCAAAGGAAAAATTTTAATTTTTGGAAATCAATTTAAAATCAATGAGGCCAACAGAAACAAAATGGCAGGTGCTTGCAATTTGTAAAGCTGTAACTGTTGTGTGCAAAGAAATATTTTCTGATTTACAAATAAGGTTATAATAAAGTATTTTTAGCATGTTTGACCACTCTGATAATTTCATGTAGATTATGGTTATGTGTAAATATTTAGATTTTTTTTACGGTATTATTCTGGAAGTAAGAAAAAATATATATCTCCCACTGAACAAAAAAGTTTTTAAGAATGCTCTAATTTCCTCATTGTTTACCACATTGTCAAATCCACAGTTTTGAGTGGCTAAACTAGTTTTTAACATAAAAACATCTTCATACAGTACTTCCTGGCATGTGAAAAAGCTAAACAATACTTGTCAAAGAGGGGCTCAAAAACAACAGTAAAACAAATCAAGGAACATATTTGAGAAAATGATTAGTACTGAAACAACCAGTTGAGTGATCAACTGCAATGAGTAAATACCAACTAGTTGGCTGTAAAATCATTAATCGACTATTTTTAAAAAATATATCCTAGCTTGTTAAAACTGGACCCAGAAATGACTGATAGCAACCAACTAATATCATCATGGTCATGTAATTCAAAGATCTTGTTTATTTGTTTTTCTTTTCTTTTTATTCTTCTTCCTCCTAGTTTGACTTGTGATGGCTCAGTAACATAAGAATGACAATTCATTGTTCGCAGGAATTGTTAAAATTTATAACTTAATTCATTTGTCTGTTTTAATGATTATTGTTTGTATTAAACAAGGATAACATGCAAAATAAATTTATTTCATTTTTTTTAATATGTAGAATTATCCAGGTTTGACTACAGTAACTTCAATAAGAGTAAATATATTGTCTCATGTTTATATGCATTGATTATTTTGTCACATCATCTAAACCCAGTATATGATTACAGAGGAGTTATATTACACTTTAAACCTGTGCATATAAATCAGTATGAAAAATATTATTCTGTTGACACATTTTCTTAAAAATATTCCTCATATTCTGTCCTGGTTATAGCATTGACCATTGCCTAGTCCGTCAGAATCAGTGGAAACCTACTTTATATTTGATGTTTCAAAATAGATATATGTAAATGTTCTATCAACATGTAACAAAAAGAAAACAAAACCAAATACATGAAACCACTAATTAAATAGTCCAAATTCATGTCTGATATTCACAGTACTATTTTGTTTTGCTTCATTATTTTCACATAGATATTTCAACCCTTCCTCATTCTGTATCACTTAGATATTGTGCTATATCACTAAGTATTGTGTGAGGATACTTGTATGTTGAAAACTTATCTCGACAATCAAAACTGTGGATTTAGTATTATTGTGAATGGCTAGAAAATTCCAACTTTTAACTTTTTTCAACAGATTGTTTTTCCAAAATAATTCTGTAAAAAAGGAAAAATGTTCAAATATAATCATTATCTGCATGAAATTATCCTACAGTTAGTAGTCAAACATGCTTAAATGACTATTTATAATCTTATTTGTATACAACAGCAGCCTCTCCAGACAAAATATATATGTGTGCAATGTTTCATTAAAAAATTAAATTTGGTATCGTCTTATGTAGAATCGTTTTAAATCAACTTGACTTAGTAGCGTATCAAATACTTTTTTCTTTCTTTCTGATTTGTTTATGAAGACAAATAGAGATAATTTAAAGTGTTAACTGGTTTATCTTACCTATACATGTCACACAACCTAAAAATCTAGACAAATAAATATAAGCCTACATTTACATTGTTATTTGTAGCAGTCTTAAGAATATTTACATGTCTGACAGAATATCATGATGTTTTTAACGTTTAAAATGTAATTTGAAACAGAGCCGTGTATTACTTTTGTTGGGTTGTTTAACTGATTATAGTTGGAACTGAAGTTCAATTAACTGAGTTTGTTTTTTCAAAGTCATAATATTAACAATTTTATGAACTAATTTTAAGTTGCATGTTGGAATATTGATTCTAATGCATTGTAGTGCAGATCATAAGTCTCTTATCACTTATGACTGCTGGACTAATGACATGTTAATATGGGAGGTTAATGAAACTACTTAACATTACTTTGCAATTCTGGATGACATAGAGCTATAATTGTAAAATGTTATGGTGTTACCTATTTTAATGGTTTGTCTTTCTTGTGTCTCTGTCTTATAAAGTAATTGTGTCTTACCCATTGTTTGTCTGTATTACAGCAAAAGAAGCCACTAAAGCAGCAAAGTCAGATGCTCTGAACAAGGCTTTAGGAAAGAAATCTTGATTTACTGAAGTGTTTTTATTAGGTCTATCTGAGAGAAATACCTTCTTTTGTACAATACAATTGTAATTATGTTTTTCTGCTTCTCCAGTGGCCAGCTGGCAAACACAAGCTTGATGATGTAGTTTCATAAATAAAATAGTGTTTTTGAAAAATCAAAAAGGAAAAGAGAGAATAAAACCAGCATTATATGTTACAAGGTTTGTATTTTTTGCTATAGAAGAAAGTCATCTTACAAAATATTAAAAGCATTTTTTTCTTTCTTGTGTTAACTGTAAACCATTTTTAACTAAAATGAATTAAAAACATTAGAATTGTTAGCAAGCTAAGACTGGGTCTCCAACTAGGTGAATAATTAGTCGATTCGTCACAAGTTTATATACAGTAATTTATATATAGCTTCCAGAAGAAGCTGTTGAATTACATATAAAATTTACAAAGTCTACATAATGAAAGTTAACATCCATTATGACAGAACACAAGTTGTATAGAAAGAGGTTTCGACACTTTCAAGCATCTTCTTCAATCCAACATTTGCTTATGAAAGAGTTACACACAGCTTATTTTATAATGAAGGTTTCAAGTTGCTTCAGTACACAAGATGTAAGGAAGATGTTCAGTTAAGAGGTGTTAAAGTTTGGCAACCTTTGAATTAGCAAACTTTCTACAGTTCATCTTTTGACATCATTTCTAGTTTTATGTATTATTGTGACTGAGTTTCTGTTGAATTAATTATCAGTATTCCTCATGTCTATAAAAATAGCAATATTTGTTTGACCATTTTAAACATCTTTTTATGTTCCACAGTTGTTTTTAAATTTTTTTCATTTCATCAGTATAAACTTTTTTCTGGATTTGAACTTGGTATTGGAATAATTATTTGGACTGATTGAAGAGTACGTAAAAGTGTTTCCACATAAACTTGTGTTCTGTAATAGTTGATGTTAACTTCATTTTGGATTACTTTACATAGTATTGTTTATTTACCTCCTATTACATGATGAATTTCAAAAAATACTCACTATTGTTTACATTAATTCTGGATATTGGTCCCCCAGTGGTATGTCTGCAGACTTAGAACTCTAAAAACTGGGTTTTGATACCCGTGGAGGGCAGAGCTTTGTGCTTAACTTCAAACAAACAAACAATACTTTATTTCTAATGTTTACATAATAAACTAATGCAAATCATTTTAATTTTGCTATACTTGTGGATGAAATGTAGATTACATGATATTTCATGTATGATTTGTGTAAAGAGTTTTCTTTTTTCTTGACTTGGACACAAGAAATGACATTACATTTTAAACGGTGTTTACCATCGAGTAGAAAATGTATTGTGTAATTATCACAGTTTCTTTGGATAAAAACAAGTTTCTCATATAGAAAAAAATGGTAAACTCAAGACAGTCATAACATTTTTGTCAATAAAGTTAACTTTATTGGTATAAATGGAAAAGTTGCCTCTTCCATGACTAACCAGTTTTCATATATGCGTGTTTAAATACAAAGAACTGATCTGATCTTAGCACTCTTGCATTAATATTGATATTAATATTAAGCTTCTTTCAACAACTTATGGTATGGTTTAAAGGTTAGAAATTTTCTGTAACATGTTTTCTGTTACCTTCACTATTAACTGTACTTTGGTTTATGTTTATTGATGGCTAAAGTTTCCGTAATTCTTACATCATGCTTGTGCTTGGTACTACATATTCTTTCAGAGCTTTTCTTCATCAACAGTCATATCATATTCTTAGTGTATGTGTTTTTAGATTTACCAGCAAAATATATAGACTGCTCTAAATGATACACAGCTGATCCCAAATGTATTGGTAAACTACGTAAATGTTTAAAAGTTTATCTTGATAATGTTCTTTATTTATGACTAGTTTGATTTCAAGATATTTTTTATTTTATTCTTCAAAATCTAACTGCCTCTACTCATAAATGAGAGCCAATGGGGCTACAGATGAAAAGAACTACAAGTGTAAGAAAGGACTTTAAATCAAAGTTGAACTCTTAATTCATCAACAATTGAAAACCTTCTAAAAAATATTAACTGTAGTTATGATAGCTTTTTTTAAAATAAAAACAGGTTTCCTATATAGAATAAGTTGTTGTTTTTTTATTTTTATAAGATTTAGTAATTGCATGGGTTAAAACTTAACAGTGAATATAGATTAAATTTGTGAGTTAAAGTCATCCTTTTACAATTTCATGTACTTCACTGTATTTCCTCCAAAAATAATAGTTTGGTTTTTCAAATCTTGGTTTGTGGGAAAAAAAGTAAAATGTTTTATGAACTCAAGTATAAGAAATTAAACTTAATATTGCACTTTGCTAGTGCCTGGTGAGGTGAAACATTTTGTGGAAAGATGTAATTCATATGCTTTCCAATTTTTACATTTTGCTTCTGGTTATTTATTAAAAAGTTAACTGTAGCTGACATTAATATTGAACTGTTTTTACAAAAAATCATGAAAAAAGATTATTTTCTATCTTCTAGATTTAACTACTTTAATAAATGTTTAGGTTACTTTTGATTTAAATTTTAATAGTATTTATCCTGAGTATATTTTATTCAGCATGTAATTTTACACAAACAGTCTTTACATATTTGTTATTTATATTTTCATAAAATATATAAATTTAACATTTTCTTTTATACTACATAGTATCTCACGTAATGATGATCTTGAAGTTTTGTGGTTAAATAAAAGTACTAATGCAGTGTATCCCATATTTGATGTAATCGGATGACTTTTTTTAAGTAATTAAATGGTTAAAACTAATACATAAATGGTATTAACTGTTCAATAGATGTGCACGAAAGCATATGTTACTGTAAGGTCATTGTTTTATGTGTATACTGTAGTTCACAATAAAATACACAAAATTAGCAGGCTTTTTCACCATGCAGTAAGGTTCTTTGACACTCCTAATGGATTACAATTACTTCAAAATTATACAAATGTATTTAGCTTGACAAACTTATGATGAGCATGATGTCACTGCATCTCTGACAGTACGAAGACTTTTTGCTGGTTGAAGTGGATCTTTTGATTATCTCTCTAGCTTCTGCCACATCTTGGCTAGTTTTCCATGGACATGGCAAAACTCGAGCCAATTTGGGTTGATTGTCTTGGCACCAGTCCCTTATTTATATTTGTAACCTTGGAAGGTGGCCCAGGCTTGATTTACTTCACTGACTGAGCCTGGAAGTGATGTTTGAGTAGGTTGTTGCAGGATTTAGTTCACTGGAACTAACATTTTGGCACTGTTGGGAGTTCTGGGTATCATTATTGGGATTGTTAAAGTTCCAGAGCTAAAATGGAGGCTTCAGCAGTGTCAGTCTGCCAATAAGCTATTACCCAAAACTTCTTAGGTGAAGGATTTGAAGTCTAAATGATAAAGATGAAGACAGTTGATAAAACACAAAACATTTTATTCATAAGGATTGAATGTTTTGGAATACACTTATTATATCTTCAGCAAAATTGGAAAATAGTGTTACAAAAATATTTAGTAACTAATGCTATATTATCATTAATCACTTGTTTACTTAGATATTGAGTAAAGTGGTAAATGAAAGGAAAAAAGAAGGGAAAAAACAGATTATAGAATATATTATGAAACAGTTGAGTTTTAAGTTTAAAGAAGTTTGTATGTTGTTAAGAGTTGAGGATCACACAAAATATAATCATGTCACTGTTAAAGAGAATTTTTAATCTTTGCTTCAATTACTCTATTTTACACAGAGAAATTACACTTCTGCACAAACATCTGTTAAATAATGGCTATTTGACTATTTTTCAAACAAATATTAATCACAATTTTCTAAACAACAAATTCCAGCTCACTGTCCCCAAATTTCCCCTCCTCATCTGTCTTCCTTTTATGGTCTCACAATCCTTCAAATTAAAAAGAACTCTAATAAAAAAAACTTCTGCATTCAAGTTCAGCTCAGACTAATGTGCAGATCTAACCTCCACATTAAACACTTGTTTCAGTATAAAGATCAAATACCTAAACTTCTACATTCATGGCTTATGCATAAATATAGTGACTGTAAGGTACTTAAATAAGTAAAACAAAAGGCCAGTTGAAAACTAGAATGTGAACATTTAGGAGTATCAAACAGAACAGAACTGGCCATCCATTACTTAAACCCAGCCGCTGATCCACTCTTTTAAGTGTTGAAACCAAAGGTTGCAGTATTTCATATAATTTCTCTATCATTACTACACGATCTTTAGACCTTAAACTCTGCATTTAAGAAAATTTACTCATAGCTAAAGACTGCCCTAATGACTTATAAACCTTTTCGGTGAATCCAGCCACTTATGCCATGAAAAATATAGGAATATCTGGAGGAAATACTGGGTATAATTGTCAAAATATAGTTTCAAATAAAGCCAGTGTATCACATTTTAAATTAAATTATGGAAAGACAAAGAACAATATTAGAAACAAATATTTCATGGTGACCTCTTGCACCCCTTATAGTCACACCTGCTCCACCATTTTATTCACTTTAAAACAAAACATGTAAATAGATTCAAAATCTGTACCAACATACATGTTAATATTCTATTTGAATAAGTTAACAATCTGATGTGGTACAAATCATGTGCATGAGTCACACTTAGTTACTAATATTCTTGTCATATTTAAAACTATGCATTCAATTTTTATTTGACTCAATTAAACTACAGTAAAAAAAAAAAGGATGTAAATTGTAACATTTAATGAGTAAATATTTAAACATTAACATAATATCCTTAATCTCAGTTGTGTAAGCAAGTATCAGAGATACTTAAATATAACTAATACAATTTATTTTCATAGCACATGTCAACCAGACTAGAGCAACAGAAAAAAATGAAACTACAAATAGTTAATCTAAATTAAACAGACTTATCACTACAACAGTCTCTGAATATAAGGTACTGCATATTTGTCTATAGGCTACTTACTCTGGAGCTCACTATTAGCTATAATCTTCTTCTAAATCTACTTAAGTAATTCTGCATAGAGTAATCTACATGCTAACAAATATTCCTACTTATACATGTTTTTTTGCTGGCAAATCCAGATCCTTTGTTTTGTTTTTACCAGGGTTTGCCTTGATTCCATTTTTGATTTAAGGACTTTTGAGGTCTCTTTGTATTTCTTCTGACCTGCCTCGATCATTACATGAGCCACACTAGCAGCAGCAAAATCTTTCTCCTTGATAGTCGTAGCCAATTTGTCATTCCCTTCGTTTAAAAGCTTCTCACCCACACTTAATGAATCCTTTGCTTCTTTTTCTTTAGCACACAATTTGTCTTCAGAAAGTACAGCATTGGCTTTAACCAACTCTTGTTTTTGTTCCTTCGTCTTATCTGCCTCCTCCTTTAACCTTTCTGCCTCAGCATCTTTCAGTAGCTCTGTTTTATCCTTTCATTACTTCCAATCTTTGCTCATAGGCAGTGTAAGCACCATTGACAGCAAGCAAAAGCTTTTTAGTAATTAGCACATGTTCTGGCCTTCCCATTTCTGAATCAAAGAACCTCATAGCATCTTTAGCTATTCTAACAGCATTGATGGTTTCTGCACTCATTGATGCTCTTTCGGTGGTCACCAAATGCTTATTCACAGAGAATCCCCTCCCTACATCTGCATTTCCATGAACTAGAATCAGTGAAGGTTACACAACCTTCCCTAGGTTGGAGTATTTAGGTTTTCCATCAATTCTAATCTGTGCAAGAACATCACTCTGGTAATGATCGATATGTGCCTCACCCACATTTTCTGAATGGTCCTGCATTCTGGCCTTCTCAGCTAAGTACAGATTTCACTCATCATGTAGTTCCACAATGTCTGTTTCACTGACATTGGGAAGCTTTTTTGCCAGCCTCTTGATGGAATGAACTGTTCCAGTTTTCATTGGATTCAGGCATCCTATGTACTTCAAGATACTTTCTGAAACAGGCAGATGGTTAATTAGGTTTGGTGACAGCAGATGAATAAAAGGAACACATTCCTAGGAACATCTTATGCTTGTCACTGCTGGACAGCTTTTGCATGACTTTTCTAGTTGGTTCACCAACAATCATATGTTCATCATCCATCTGGTTCTTTACATCTGAATGCTTGACCTCACACAAATCACTGCCTTCTTTTGTTCCAACTACTTTTGACTTTATATACTGCAGCATAAGCCTCCTAACTAGTTCACTGAGTTTATCATACAGAATGTGAATTTGTGGACTTTCTTATTGGAAAAGCTCCAGGAATGAGTGGAAGAGTGGAGCCACTGCCTGCATGAAGTAAAGCAAAGTCAGGGTTTCTGGACTTTTCAGCTTGAATAAGATCCTCCTAAAAGCTGCATTTGATCTTTTCTCTTCCTCTTTCATATACTTATCAATGGCCTCCCAGTGTTCAAGAATTGTATCCACAACAGGTGACAAAGTAAGTCACCTGGATGATACATGGCATTAAAACATGTGCTCTTCAATACCATTATCAACTTGCACATTGTTGTAATCCTCCTTCCTTGCTGCAGACTGCTTAAAGAAGGTAAACAGGTCAATTGCCAATTCATCAATGTCTTGTGAAAGAATTTCCTTTGCCTGTCTAAATGTATTGTGGACAGTGTGAATATAGTAGGTACCAATGTCTACCAAACCAGGATGTCCACTTTCTATAAGAGAAGAGCTAACTGTTCTCCAGATTGTTTTATTGACACTTGGTCCATCACTTCACAGTGCCACAAGAAGATTTACATTCAGTTTATCATCACTGAGAGACTTAAGGATAGCCTGGGCTACATCATGCATTTAAAGAAACAAACTTAGACTTCATTCATAAGTGGTGACCAGTATCTGTTGTGCAAGTCAAGCTGTTTCTTCCTTTGAGCTGTTGTTGCTTCATCAAAATGAAGTGTGAATGGAGTCTTAGAATCATTTACATCAGCAACCAATGCTTCAGTACAATATGGGCCTATCCCATCTGATAACATGTATGATACCTTCATTCTTGCCATGTGGAATTTTGATGCAGCTGAACAATCAAACATAGCTTTAAACATGTCAGATATACCATTGCAAGAGCAAAAGCTATAATTGCTAGCAGCCACCTTTAAACACCATATTGTTTCCGCATCTTCATTTACAATTTTGACCTTCATCGAAGGTTCCTTTTCAATTGACTTGGCCTCCTTAAAACACCTCATTTGACATGGTGTCAAAGCACTGTGAGCCATCTTAATGTTTTTTTCCCCTCAGCATGCTGCTTTAAATGTTCTAGTCCAGATCCATCACATGCTATTTCCTTTTTGCACAAAACACAAAATACTTTAGTCATCAGAGCCCTTTTTGCACCAATGTTTGATATTATGTCCATTGTTGCCCTTTTGCAGCCAGTGTTCTTGATATTTGGTCTTTCCAGCAGGCATTTTCAATACTTCAGGTTAAAATCTCACTGCATACATCTCTGAAAAAGATAGTTGTCATTATTTGAAATCAACAACATGATAGAAATGTTGTTTTGTACAACACAGTGTAAGTAAAAAGGTTGCTGCTTCTTCAACTCTCTGAAAACAAAAATATTAAGTGATCACATTCAGCTAAAATTAAGTAATAGCAAAACAATAAATCAATCAAATATGCATGTATAAGAATATATTTAACCATTTGTAACTCTATATTGTGCTTCAAATATTCATCAGTAATATATTTTATATCTAAAGCTTATAATCTAGCCTAACCCTAAATTAAACTGGATAGCAACAGAGTCACAACACATCATATGAATTATTTTTCAAGAAAATGTTTCTTACTTTAATAACTGATGAACATGGCTTCCTTGTGCAAATGGATTGCTGATACAGTTGTGAATATAGATGATTCGAGTTTGT